TAGGGTCATTTACGAGTTCATACCCGATTTTGGGAACATTTATGGGTACATACACAACGTCGCAAAAAATTACAGATCGCCCCCTCCGTTAGCGATTCCGTTATGAAATCCGTTATGCTCCTACGTGGCGTCTGGCCGTCTGTAATTCAGGAAATCTATTAAGGGCATTTTCGGCATCTCACGTCCCTGGGTTTCGCGCCCAAAACAACATGTGGCATAACGTAATTTAAAAAAAAAAAAAAAAACCCAATCGTTCCAGAAGCTTATCGTCCCTAACTTCTATCACCGAAATCGATTTCCCCCCCAAATCGGAACCGATTACACAAATTGAAACCTAATCCCTATTTTGCATTGATCGAAAGCGCAAATAAGGCTAGGTTGATGTAATTCGAGATGCCCTGGGGTATTCGTCCTCGTGGTTGTCGTGCTCCTCGTTACTGTAAGTTGAAGGCAGTTTTTAAATTTTCTTGCTTTTTGGTTTCCTCGTAAAGGTTTAAGATGCGTGCAGTTTGATTTTGTCTGAACCTTTCAGTTGCTTTGAAGTGTGCTTGATAGTGATATTTGTGGTCCATGGTTGATAGTAAACGTAGTTGTGTTGTTGAAAAGGCATAAAAAATAAGCACTTTTTCTTTTCAAACCAAACTGCTTTAGATTGGAGACAGTACTTAGTGGTCCAAAACCTCTGCATTTGTTTATGTCCTTGTTTAGTCACCAGTTAAATATTGAACAATTGTGTATTGATAGGTTTGACTGTTATGTGGCATTGTAGGTGAAGATGATAAGTTTACTATTCGAATGAACCATGGGGGTTCTTTATGTGACAACCTGTATGTAAATGGGACTCTGGATTTCATTGATTTTTGTGATAAGGACCAAATGTCTATGTTTGAAATTGGTTTGATGGTTAAGGAATTAGGCTATGATGGTATAGTGTTATATCACTATGAGCTTCCCAACTCTGCTTCTGTAGAGAAGCTTATGTCTGATGAAGATGTTCTGAAAATGTGTGCATTCATACTACAGCAAGGACAGTTACATGGCCCTCTATAACAATCTCATTAT